AATGTTAATTTGTTTGATATTTTTGGACCCAAAAATATAGGAGAACTGGGCAGTTTGGGGTTTTCACTGTTTTTTACATCATAAAGCAATTTTAAGGATGCAAAATGCCCCAAGTCACGTTCTGTGTAGGAAATCTTTCCACACAGAACATAAGACAGACTCAAAAAAAGGACTTTCAAAAGTGGAGCATGATAGGAAAATACTCTATTTTTCTTTCCTCATTCCCTCAGAGATTACTGCAAGGTGGCTCAGATGTTGTAAGACTATACTATTATGATAGCATAAAGTATTTTATGGACTTTGGAGTAAAAATAAATATAGATATCACATCACAGATAGACCTGAGATGTGTAAGAAAAATCAGAATTCACACTAATCACAGAAAACCTATCCTTTAAGGGGTTTCAAAGCACAGAAACATCTTTATTCCAAAGAAAAACAAGGAATGTTCTTCCTTTTTAATTCCCTCCTGTGGACATATCGTAAGAAACAACTTGTTCCACCAATACCATACCCTGCAATTTAAGATGAACAAACTGTCAGCAATCCACATGATAATTATTACGGTAAGGAGAAAACTGCACTATGTTTAAAAAGAAAATAAAGTCACAACTCAACCAGTAGGGTATGTGTTTCATTCCTTAGATTTTGTCAGATTACACTGTCCCAAAGCATTGAAAATATCTGACTCTTGTATAACAAAGTATATTAAAAGTGACTGACATTTAATCTGTCAAGATCACTGTCTTGTAATGGCACAGCAGATGGCTGGGCAATATTATTTCTCACTGAAATGATTTCTAATCAATCTATGTATATGTGTTGCTCACTTCACCCACTCAACTAAATAAAGTTCAACAGCAGAGTGAACCATGGAATTTTTAGCTTTTTCTGAGAGCTTTTAGCCCAGCAATAAAATACACATTAAGAATCAAACCTACACTCAAAGCAGTATTTTGATTTTATATGAAGTATTTTGTGTCCTGTTGAATTGAAGTGGGCTCATAAATATGCATTTCTGTTTTTCACCTGAGGAATTCTTCTTCCATTAGCTATTGTTGCTCCCAACACTTTCCTATTTATACCTATAAAAATTAAAACAGTGGTTAGGGTAAATTTGTGTTTTAAATGTGCTGCTCCACTTTTCCACAGTTTAATTGCTAGGAAGGATCTGGAACCTTAAATCAGATAGTTGGTATATTCAAAAGAGGGTGTTGAGTTGAAGAAGCCAAAGTCTATTCCATTTTACCAGTTACACCTTCAGGAGCTTGGTCTTCCTCAGATTTTTTTGCAAGACATCTTTGGCTGCAGTTTGTACCCCTTGTATAGCAGCTGACTGCCATTTGAATTATAGCTCCTCAGTGAGGCTATCTGGGTGTGACTGAGGATTTTGTTTATGTTCTGTGTTTTTTATACAGAGTGACTGAGGACTGCAAAATACTAGTTGCGTAGATATCACATTTCTGTGTGCATCTGTGTTCACTTGCCATCTGAAAAACCTGTATTTTTTTTTTTTAATTCTGCTCCTCCAATTTTTTGAGTTTGTATTCTGAATACATATAAACATAGTCTTTCTACCTGACAACCAGTATGTCTAAAAACATTTCTTTCAGACTTCTTTTTTCTTCTTATCTAATGCACTTCACAGATGTTTTTGATGTTCCCAACCCACATTTGCCATTTTTCCAGATGAAATGTGCTTCTTAAATGAAAATCCTCTAACCTCATACACAGGAAGGAAGATATATAATCTGTCTGTATTTGAATTCTAGGCAGTCATGTCAGATTGGTCTGCTGCTGGCTTCATTTTCCTTTTCAAGCTCATGGGTTTATTTCCTAAATACTGCCGTTGTACTTCATTGGCTTCTTATAGTAGTTATTTTCTCAGTCTGATTTTAGCAAATTGAGATGGGTATCAAAGTGTTGCCTCTGTAATACACTGGACAACCTCTTGCTTAGAGAATAGAAACCTCCTGAGAGCTGAATTTTCTTTCTGTGCTGTAGTTCCACTGCTGCTGCACAGAGAGTATCAGTATTGGTCCTCTACCAGCCTGGTGTGAGACAGGAGACTTGTGGATATTACTCACTGGGTATAATTTTGTAACACTCAAAATGTGAGCTATAGTGGATGTTAGGTGGATACTAAAAGGGAATATTTATGCATTTATATTCATGTAATTCTGAAAGATACCGATGGATTGACAATCATAAAAAATGAAAATTAATTGTGTATTAGTTAAAGAAAAAAAGAGAAGTTTGTTTGTCCTTATTAAGGCTTAGTAGGTGAAAGGACAAAGATATACCTTAACATTGAGTTAGTGTGGATTCCAGCTCAATGAGATTGCCTGAGGTAAGAGTATAATCACCTTACTCCCCATACATAACTGGAGAAGGCTGCTGTTGGGACTAATTCAGACCTTAAATAACTGTAATTGACTTCCAAAGAAAGGCAGGTAACTCTTTCTATTTTTTCGTGACTATTTCTTTCTATTGTGACTCTACTTGCTTTTATGTACTGACTCAGTCAGTGAGAGAAATACCAGCCCTTACTCCTACTGCATCCAGCCTTGCCTGGAATATAGGCTGTTCTGGCAGGAGCTTCCAAATAGTTTCTTCTCCAATTGTCTTCATCCCTTTTTTATCTTCTGTATTCCATTTCTGCTTGACCCATCTAGAGTCACAGAGCTGTAATATAATTCAAGCTGAGAGGGACCTCAGGAGGACTCTAGTCCAACTCCTTGCTCAACTCAGTGAAAACTATGAAGTCAAACATATTGCCCTGAACTTTATCTGTTCAGGTCTTGAAACCCTCCAAGGATACAGATTACACAGTCTGTCAGGGCAGCCACTCCTGCTGCTTGTCTGAAAGTCAGAACTAGACCTGATTTGGTTTATTACCATTTTCTCTTTTATTTTTTTCTTCTTTTGTTCACTTTATTGCCCTGCAAATCCATAAACATCTTGCCTCCTACATTTTGAAATCTCCTTTCAGGTATTGGAAAAGTTCTTCTAGCCACCTCCAAAATTTTGACACCTTCCTTTTTTTCAGTCTGACCAAGCCCAGCTCCTTCAGCCTCTCCTTATGGGGTGCATTCTTCAGCCCCAGTGATATTGGTGGACTCCCACTTGACTCACTCAAAGTTTGTTGCTGTCTTTTTTGTACTGCAATGGACATGTTAATCATAACTGGACATAGTAGTCCAGATATGCTCAAAAAAATGCTGTGTAAAAGGAAATAATATGAGTTTCTTGTGATCTTGAAAAATATTATGATTCAGAATTCAGGAAGCACATGAAAAAAATCTGGAGCCTATTTAGTGTAGACTTAATCAAGAGAATGCACTCATCTGTGTCAGAGCTCCCTGGCAAGCCGTCACCCTTGTCTGAGAAAGCTTTTCTCTAGAAAAGTCAGCACATTTCTTCTTTGTTTTTCTCTCATTCCACCAAGATGCATAATACATGCAAAAATAAAAAAAAAATTGAGTTGGCAATAAGTTGCAATGAGAAGAACAAAGAAAAGCTTAATAAAATTGAAAGGCAGATGAACTGAAACAGTAAAAAAAAAAATCTCACTGGCTGACATGATACAGAAAGCATTGATTCAAATTTCTGATTCAAGGATAATAGCATTTAGCAGCTTGAAATGAATGAATAACAACAATATATCAACTTTTTATATTAAGGACAAAGTTCAGATGGGAATTTACAGACATTGCAGGCACAAGGAATAAAGCAGCTCCCATCCTTCTGTTAGAGAGATTTCTTCTAGGCTTGCAGCTGGGAAAAGTCTAAATAGCATAGTGGAGTTTTACATCAGGCTGGAGAGCTCATAGCCAGAGAAGGTGTGTTGTATTTTAGGTGATGGTTCTGTCTGGAGGGACAGGAATCAGTTTGCTAAAGATGGGGATGACAATAAATGTTTGGTATCAAATAAGCCCTGTAGGGTTATTTGCTCTCAGTTAATACTGTCCAGATCCCCTTTCTTGTTCCTTTCATGTGTTTGCTGGCTTTGGGTTAGCCTAAACTTGTCCCACTGCTCCTCCTGTATCTCCTATGTGAGTCAATGTCTTCAGGTGAGCAAAGGGTGAAGGAGGGAATTTTTTGAATGCTAATGAAGTATGGGTAAATAAATAAGCCTTCTCATATTGAAAATAAGAATGGGTGAAACATAAATGAATGTCTCTTTCTGTGTTTGTCAGCAAGAACACAGATGTCAGGACTTCAATTTCTTTCTGTGTGATGATGCTTGACTGCAGGTCAGGTGCTGCAGTGGTGCTTTTAATACAAGACTGTGCTGGCCATTACTGACAGCCAAGTTATAGGCAATAGGAACAAATGAGCATTTCTTAGAGGATAAATATAAATCTGAGCATTATCCAGAGGGGTTGTGGTGTTTCACTCCTTTGAGTTATTCAAAAAACACTCAGACAAAGTCCTCAGCTAGTAGCTTAAGGTTTCTCTGCTTGATTGAGTTGGACAAGATGACCTTCGCAAATACCTTCCTACATCAACTGTTCTAGGAACCTATTATCCCTTGATATTTTTCCAGTAATAAACTTTTGAGGACATCTCTATCCTTTACAGTAGCTCTGACAAAGCTACTGAGAAAGATATCATGCAATTAGAGTCAACTATTTTAACATGTAATCAGAAACTGTTCTGAAGAAGAAAAGCAGGCTGAGCCATCAAGGTAAAGGTGATAGCTGTTTTCAGCTTCAGAACAAGTGGATGAACATTAAGGCTACCTTTTAATGTCAATATAAGTAGTGGAACCACAGCTAGAAATGGGATATGTAAAAGCTACTTGTTAAGGAAAGTGCAGTGTTTTTTTGGTTGCATCATTATGTTACACAGAAAAAGACAGCTCTTTCAAGGTGGTAGGACTTTGAGAACAAAGTGGTTATCTGCAGGGTATCAGGTGAATATTAACAACAAAACTAAATTGCTGAAAAGACGTTATTTAGCTCTTTAGTTTATCTTTCTTTTTTTTCTTGAAACAGTTGAAGCTCTGCATTTGGGAACTCTGATGGCAGCACATGGCTATTTCTTCCCAATCTCAGACCATGTTCTGACTCTGAAGGATGATGGCACCTTTTATCGATTCCAGGTAAGTATTTTCAATATGTTCTTGACTTTCACAAATGGAGCCTGAAAGGCCTTACAGAAAAGTTCATGGCAAATTTAATCATGCTTTGTTTTTACATAACCTGGTAAAGAGTAGAAATTCTCCGAAAAGTAACAAATTGTAGAAGTATTTTATTTATAAATTTTCAGTAAAGTGTTGAGATGATAATGGCTATTTTGATATTTGGGAAAAAAGTGTGAAAATGCTGAGTGTGGAACTATCTGTCATGAAATAAATTAATGTAGTATTTTTGAAATATAGTAAACTATATTATGTTATTGCCTCTTATTTCTAATATGGTCTGAATTTAGAAAGGGGGAGATATTTTAAATATCAAGTCTATACCAGAAATCTGATAAATAATGGAATTAATATTTATGTTTTTTTATTTTGTGAGTGTTTCCTTACTGGTAACTCAGTAGTATTGGAGTGGTGTGTATTCTTCTAGCAAGTGCAGAGACATTTTTATATTGATCTGTCAGTCCCATTGCATACAACCAATGGGAAGATGGTTCAGAAAAAGCTGGAAGCATAAATATGTACATATGTCTATGCCTACACTTTCACATATATTATTCAGAAACACACATAATTGTATTTCATTATATTCGGTTTCAAACTAAGGCCCTGAGAGCAGAAGTGTTGTTTTTCTAATAATGACTAGTGGGCTAGAATTTTGCAGAACAATATTGCCAATAACTTAAAACAAATATGACTGCAAAGTACCAGATTGTGGATTCAATTGAAAGGATTCACTTTGTTTGTCATGTGCCACTTTTGACAATGGTGGCTGTGTTCTGTATTGCTCTTTCTATCCAGTGGTATTCCTGGTCAGTATCACCAAGAGCAGCTCGTAGCTCTTGTTTAGATATTTATTGCTTTGAAATGACATGATGACTCTCACTATGAAATTAAGTCTGTTAATTCTTCTCTGTTACTTCTAACTGTAATGAATATTCAGTAAAATAACATCTGGTAGAACAAAATCTATTTTCTTCAATATATATACATCTAAACTTTGTCTTAAAGATTCTTTAAAAAAGATGCCATCAAGAACAAAATAGTACTGAAGTTGTGCTCTTCCAAATGCAGAAGAAAACTGGTGATTGGAGATCAGTCATAGTTTCAAACATTGTATTATATTAATCTCTCTACAGTATTTTCACCAATATTTGGCTCAATTCGCATAGACCTACATAAGGGAAGAGAAAGACTTGTAATATTTGTACAAATGAAAATCTTAGCGTGAGTATAATTAAATATGCACAGCACAGTCTGGCAATGAAGAGTATTATTGCATACATGCAAACAATATTATCCTATTTTCATATTTAGATCTTGTGAGTCAGACTGCAAAAAAGTTGTTCTTCAACAGAGCAGAAAGTTAGATTTGTACATGGGTAATACTAAGAGTAAGCATTCCAAGCCTCCTCCCCTAGATCCACAGTTACCTTTGATCCTGGAGAGACTATTTGAAGGAAAAGGGGTTTTTTAAGCTCATGAGGCTTCAATCTCCTCAGTGCTCAGTATAAAGTTGAAAGATAGCACATGGTTGAAGGGGCTTGCTGAAGTGCTTATAAGGCAAGTGGAAAGGAATCATGGAGTGGGTGAGGCTCCAGTTCTTGGGTTGGTGTCTAAACAAACAGCATCCAGAAGGACAAAATGTACAAGAACTTAATTTTGTGGAGAGTAGTACTTACCTAGAGGAGTGCTTGTCATTGAATTCTGCACAGCTGCCTCCATCTCCAGCACGAGAAATGAGCACCTCTGCTGGCATGGCAGTCTGACTGAAGGGAAGTATGGACTAGAATTATTTGCACCATGGACCACTCAGAGTCCTGCAGCTACTCTGCTTTGAGCTTTCTTCACAGAGGTCCACAGCCTAAGTTTCGACACAAAACTTCAGTGAGGGCTAGATTATATTATCTTCTCAGTGTATTTACATAAGTTAAGAATTTGGCGCCTATTTGACAAATGCATATGAAATAAGACTCTTTAGCAAGTGTTGCTCAGCCTGTATCTGCTGTGTTTGGCTTGTTTGCTTTTCTGTGGTACCTTTTGCATTGCCATTCCTATGCCAACAGCATGACTTTGTTGTTGTGACAATGCAACTTTAGCTGTTAATGTATAGGATGAGAAAAAATTCATGGTGGTGACATATTGTTAACTGGAGTTATAACAACAAAATTTGTGTGCTTACATCTCCACGTTCCCCACCAAAATAAGGCTGGTATAAAATCTGTTACTGAACTGCTAAATTAGAAGATGAAGAGAACATATTCAACGGGGAGGAAAGTTTGACTGCAAATGTGTGAATTTTGCACTAGAATAGATGTTCAGGTTGTCTGTGCATAGTACCCTCTTGGTACTGGACAGGATTCACAAATTTCCAGATATTTTGATAAAAAGAGAAAACCATGCACCTGCTGGCACTGAAAAGTTCGGAAGCCACACCTGCAGAGAAATCTTTGCAGTACAAAGACCTAACCTACAAAAAACAGATTAGCTATAGTAATGTTCTCCATGTGCTTGATGTTTTGTTCTCAAAAGGGTGACACATTCCCTCCTGACAGTAAAATTATCTCTAGCTTGTTTTAAACCACCTTCTGTTGCATAGAAATAGCTAAGAGCAGTGGAGCTTCATTTGGACAAATGCCCTTTTATGGGCAAAAATTATTCTTTTCCAGTTATTACTCTTGCCATCACGAGGCACGAGTATAGTTACATCCGCTTTTTTAAATAATATGAAATTAAAAAAAATTATGGATCGTTCAGTGACCTACTCAGGTGTTAATTAGGTTCGTTTCTGTGATATCAATTTAATTCAAAGGAGATGAATATAAATATTAATTCCCTTATTAAGAGAGGAATCTTTTTATTAGACTCAATAAGAAAAAGCAGAAACAGCTACATTGCCTTTTCCTGGTAATTTAAACCTGTGACCAAAAAAGGAACTCACCATCTTCCTCTACCCGAGACCAAATGAATTTGAGGGGCCCAAATAAGAAAAGCAAGCTGCATCTTGGAAAACATAGCTTCCCTGGGCCAGCGATCGCTCACAGAGATATTTCATTTATGTCCACACAAATGATAATATGACCATGTTGGTGAAGAATGCCTGACTTGCCCTCTCAGCTGGTAAGCTTCTGTAATATCATCCCACAGAAAAATATGCTAATTTCCTCTACAAGCCCTGAATGCATAGTGTCTCCTGATGTTAATTGTGAAAAAAAAAACCATTTCCCAGTATCTTTTGGCTGTAAAAAAATTCCTAGGATACCCGAGACTAGTGACAGTCGCACTCTCATTTTTAAATGAGATTACTTCATGATTTACATTAAATAATTTTCTGAGATGAGGGTTAGGTTTTGCTATTTTTTTGTACCTTTTAAGATGAAAGACACAAATATATGAGGAAAAGTATGCAAACAGGAACAGTTTCTTGTGAAAGCAAGAGTGAAGGTAGTAGCAAAATTAATGGACCTTGGAAACATGAAGGACTTTAGTATCTTCTCCTGTTCTGCCACTGGGAACACTTTCTCGACAAATGCATTTAATTGATCTGGCCTTGTTTTCCCATGCCTAAAATTTGGGATAAAATTATATAGGAATCTCTGTAAGGATCTTGAAATATCTTTGTTGGAAAATCGTTTAGAGTGTGAAGTGTTGTGGGCACCTCGTGTCTCAGGTGGAATGACATTGCTTTACACATCTCTATGAGCCAGCCTTACTGAGCTGGCTCCTTCTAGGCTTGTTCTGGACCAGCCTTTGGCCATTCTGAGTCTGTGGCTGAACATCACAGCTCTTCAGCCACTCTCCAGAGCCTTCCTGGATAATCTACTGTGCCTTGAGGGAAGGATTTTATTTGAAGTCAGATTTTAGAAATGAAAAAGAAACAAGTTATATTATGCAGAATTTTGCAGATTTTTTTGCCAGTTGCAAGTGTGATAACTAAGTAATTGTCTTTTCAGATCAGGCTTGGTATACACAGGTTCTGTTAAGGTTTCCGAGGGAAAAAGATTTCAAATCCATGTGTCGTTCTGACTGCCCCATCAGTGCCACTTTTGATTTTTTTAACTCCTTACTCAGACACACTTTGCCCCACACTGCTTTCCGTGCTTGTCCTCTTTTTGGTTAGAAAAGAGGAGCCACAGAGCCAAAATCTTGTTTCCAAATTCCTCAGCCTCTTTTTTAATTATATTGAGCTAACTATGGAGCACTACTTGCTTCCTGTATGGGCATGATAGTGCTAGACTAGCAATCTTACCCTTTTACTTTACCAAGAAATCATGCTTGTGAAGTGCAATGAATGTAAAACAGAATGCCAGTAAAATCCGCCATCCATCATGCAAAGCATTTGAGATTGTGCACAGCCACTTTTCAGCAGAGGCTTCATTTCTGCTGTTTATAAAGACTCCCTGGTGCCTGAGAGAAGAATAGCAGCAATATGCAAAGGTTTATAAGTGGTTTGAATACTCCCCCCCATCCAAGTAATTGGATTTTAAAAAATTTTGTGGAGTGGAACGGAGCAGCTTCAGAGACAGCTCTTTTCTTATTACTATCAACAAGGGGTAGCTGAAAGATGCCTAGTGATTTCCTTCCTTGGTTATAGAGTTTAATGCATAGAAATTAATCATGTTTTATAAAAGCTGATGGGTGACCCTGATTTTTACAAGTGGCTGTTTCATTAGCTCAGATATTGTTATTGATTAATTTTGAGGTAAAGCTGAAGCAGATCTATTTACTTTATCACTGTATTCCTTACAATGCATAGCAGCCACTGCTGCCAGTTTGTTTATTGTGGAATATGTGCTATATTACAGGATTTTGTTTCATATGACTTTATTACAGAAGGATTATGGATTTATGTGGTTAGGTTTACTTAATGATATTAGTGTATAACTCAAGAGAACCAGTATGTGTTCATGTGTGCAAATCTAGTTTTCTGGTTAAAGGGCATGAAGGTCCTTGTAATGTTTTGCTCAGCTTAAATGTATCTGCAATCGTATCTGCAGTGCTAGGTAAGCCTTGTTTCTCTTGCTCCTGACTTGTTCTGGCTGCTGATTCAAGTTACACCTACAATCAAGCAAAGTGCCTCAAAAGCATATTGATAAAAACTGGCAGCATTATTTCTGCCTGGGCTGATAAACAGTTCTTGACTTTCCCATAGCCGCTCTACCGCCCACCTTCCTTCAGCTGCAAGTGGGATGTCATGGCAAAATGACAAATGTTCCCTCTTTAATACTTCTTCATGATGAACTGCTTCATATTTCCTTCTGCGGAAAAGTAAAATTCTTAAGGACGATAATTCCTAAAAGTTTTCTACACTCATGAAAGATAACCAAACCACATCAGTATTTCATTATCTTCCCTTTGAAAATGGTGGAGTTATGTAATGTACATGCTAATAAATGTACATGTTATACCACATCCATAGCTCTCCTGGGTGAAATCTTCACTTAGGAGCTTCTAGATCGTGAAACCAGGCACAGAGATTGTGTAACATTAATTGTATAGGAATATTTGACATTGTAAGGGATGCTGTAATTATTTTACAGTGTATTTGGATATGTGATTTGTAACAAATAGTTGAACCAAGCTTTGTTTGCATAGTCCAGCAATTTAGAAGGTGATTTATGTGAGCAGAGCCTCCCTGCATTGCTGTGGGATATTTTTAATAGAACAGATGAGAACAGGCAGGTTTTTTCCTTTGCACATGCCTCCTATTCTCATTCCTGACCTCATTCCATTAGACCAGGGATCTTCTTATTGGACTCTTTTTATTTCCTAATCCTTCTGTGTTGAACAAAGCAAATCTTTTTCCCAAAGTCTTCATGGATAACCTCCCTAGCAAGTTCTTCTCAGAGATTGTTAAATATCTGGAGCGTGAAATTGTGCGGAGACTTTGGAACAGAAGTGGAAATGTAAGCTCAGCACTTGCATTATGGTCACATGTTATGTGATTTAACTGTTTGATGTCTATAAGGAACAAGGTATATTTCAGATTAAGACCAGAATTTTATGACTGTTAAAGCCAAGCAATTAGACAAGAAAATGTGGAATATTCCTTTGGAAAAATATCAGTAATTTTAACTACATGCATGTTGATCGTTGGTGCTTTTTGTCCATACAATCACAGCATTGCCAAAGTCCATTAAACAGAAACTGATTTTTACATCAGGCTTCTGTTACATCCAGAATTTTCAAAGATCTTTTTTCCTTGATGTTTTGGACTTTCTTTCTGTTTAAATCTTTGTCTGTACCTCATCCTATTTTTTGCCCTTTTTTAGGAGAGTTTTCCTAATCTCTGCACACATCAATGCTATTTCCTGCTTTGAAAATGTATGTTAGATATCTACTCTTTGAATACAACTTTATCAGCAGCTGTAGCTGTATTTGAGCACATATCTTAGGGTGATACCATAAGTCTTCACTAGCTGGTAACAAAGTAATGTAGGACTTTGCCTTGGTAAAAATACATAGCATCTAATGTTTATTTCTCTACTAGTAGGGATTTTGCACTGTCAGTGACCTAATATGCTTTTGAAAAATCGAAATATTAGCAATCCTTAGCTTTCAAAGATTGGAAACATATAGAGTATTACACCTGTTCAATCTAAAGAGTGGACATAGAAACATTATAAAAGAGAAAATTTTAGATTTATACCTTTTCTGGAAATACATCTCTTCCCTTTGCTGTAATCTTCTGAAGCTCCTCTGCTTTATGCAATATTTTTAAAAATAACTGTCCATGTTTCAAAGGTTACTTGAATGAATATTTTTCCATGTATAAACTACCCTTCAGGTAATTGCACCCCTTCAAACATCATGCAGACAATTCAGTACTTTTGATAACTCTCATCAGTTATATAGTCATTGTTACAAAGTCCTGGAGATAGAGGAGAAAGAAAAATACCAGAGGAAGTATTTCATCAAAATATTTACACATGCATATAAATCACAGTCCTGGGGAGCCAGGAGTCGTTCTTTAGCTTGGTGAGGTTTTTTTTTTTTTTGCTTTTTTGGAAATAAACACAGTTTACCAGTGTGAAAACACAAAAAAATCCTTAAGCTTTCTGTGCTGAATTTCATCAGCCTTCTAACCTGAACTGTCTGACCTCATAAAAAAATTTCCCTCTCTGAAATTTTTTTTGCCCTGTGCTTTGCCCTGTAGCCTTATCTCCATGTCCAAATTAATTTTGGGCATGTTGGCAGAGCTGATTGCAGGCAGAATTGAGCTCTGTTCCCTCTGGGAGGCAGCTGGCTGGGGGCCAGCCCTGGCCGTGCTGCAGTGCTGAGCCCTGAGCTGCGCTTCTCCAAGTCCCATTAAATGCATCCCAGAGGGGTCAGTGCAGAGACAGCGCTGCCTGCCCGGCTCAGAGCCTCGGCACGGAGACCTCGTGCCTCTGTGAAAGACCTCTGTCTGCCCACCATCTCCTCCTTCTGCAGACTCAAACAAGGAAGGCATTTAATGATCTTCTGTACTTATCTGTAATAGCTGTTATTTGAACCCCTTTCTCATCTTGTGACGTCTGCCTTTACTGGGGTTTCTTTTTTGCTTGCCATATCACACATCTTTGAAACCTTTTATTATGGCTTGTCGTGTGCTTTGCTAATTAAAACTAATGTTCTAACTTTTCTGCTTTTATCTCCCTGACGCAGAGATGCTTACACTCATCCTTAGTATGAGCACATTATTTTCTGCTTTTTCCTCAATCTCTTCTCCACATTTAGGTTGTACCTTTTTATCCTTCAGAAAAGCCTTGGTCGCCTCTGCCTCCTAGCGAGCTAAAGTCACAACACTGAAGATCATGCCCCCTTTCCAATATTGTGTTTAGTGTCCACACTGCTTCACCCCCAAAGTGCAAGTTTCAGTAAAATTTAAATGTGTTATTTAAACTAAATGCTGAAAAAAAGTACTCTGGCCACACATAGCTTTCCATTTATGTATGAAACAGGAGAGTCCTCCTCTACCGTCACTAACATAGTTGTGAATATATAGTATTTGTTCATAGCCTGCTGTGAAATGAGTGCTGAAAGCAACCTTTGGGATTTTTCCCTAAGTCAGAAGATGGAATTTGTTTTTAATTTCAACTGGGATGGGAGTATATGCAATTTGTCATGAGAAATCCTACGTATGCATGAGGGGCTTTAATATGGACTTTGCAGCAAGTATGCCCACAACTGGGAGTTTCAGCTGGAGAGCTGCTTGAGCAGATATGGCTTCTATGTATTTAGGAACCCTCACTACACACTTTTTTCAGAAGCTCTACTTGAACCTGTAAACAGAGGTTAATCTTCCCTTTAGCAAAGAAATGATGTAGCTGTGCTTTTCTTCTTGGGCCTCTCTGGATTTACATTTTGTGCTCTAAGGAAGGACTGTTCTCACTTCCTGAGTTTGTAAACTGTATATTTCAATGATGGTGACTTTTTGCTTTATATGAATCACTTTTTTAAATTTTATAGTTGCTTCTCCAAAATGCGCTGAGTACTGCAATTCATTCTTTAGGAGTTAATCTTCTTTCTATTTGTGCTCATATGTGCTTCTACTGGTCATTTTGATTTCAGTGGCACTGTGAAGGAATGGTTGATTGGAGAATTACTTATTGTTGGTCCCTTAAAATGTACCAAATGACTTTTAAGAAACACATCTTAGCCTTTGAAGTTAGCTTGTGATAGCTCCTTTTTTATCCTTTAGGTCTTTGCTCTTGCTTGATAAATAACAAGTTCTAAATTGGTTCTATTAAATTTGATGTGTCAATGTTACAAAACCAAGAGATTTTTCACAATATATATTTAATTTGACAATTGCTGTGAATGTGTCACCCTTCAGCCCTGTTGGTTTCCAGATTAACATTAAAACAGTTTTGAAGGGAAGTGGGCAGCAAAGAGGTTTCCATTTTTGCAGCTGGGAGATTTTTGAGAAAAAAAACAATAAGAAATAGAGAGTAAAGCAGAAGGTTTTCCTGAAGGACCACCTGTGTTTTGAAATACAACTCAAACCACTTCACACATTTAATGAGTTGCATTCAACTGCTCAAATATTATGTAATTCTCTGTAGCTGCGTGTATATGTTTATGTATAGATCCGTGACTCAGTCACAGAATATTCTGAATTTGAGGGGACCCACAGGGATCATTGAGTCTGACTCTTAAGTGAATGGCCTGCATGGGGATTATGTGCTCTATAAAAATGCTATAATAATTTCCATTTTAACCAAAAGTTGTGATTTAAAAAATGAAGTCATTTGTATGAAAATATATATACAGTCTTATATTCTCCATTTGTTTGAAGTGAATTCTTTGAACAATACATGTAGCACAGTCTTAATAAGTATAGTGTTGAAGTAGTTTTTGATACTTTGTCTTTCCCTTAAAAAATCTCCACATTTCAAATCACAACCAGTAAACAATTATTAAAAAGGAGGTGTTGATGTCTTTGGGAAAACAGGATGTTTTTAGAGGCACTGTTAAACAAATAACACCTGGGAAAGATAATTGAATATTAATCTGTGAATGAAAACTCTCAAAAAGCAAGAACTGAATGAACTTCAAAGCGTCTTCTGTCTTTATACCTCTAAACCTGATTCTCCAGGACATATGAGAGATGTATTTCTAGGGAAAATGTAAAAGACAACCCCATTACCTAGCCTTGTGGATTTTGTTCCCTTAACTTTGAAAACAAAAACCCCACTTTTTTTTCTTTTTCAATGTCATTTCTTTTTCAATGTCTAGTGTGATAAACAGGTGTACAAATGTAATTTTCTGTTCTGATGCCAATTTTAAAAATGTCAAGTTAACAGTTAATAGATCTACCAAAAATATAAAATTATTCTGAAAACCAGTAACAATTCAAGGACTGTATAATGCTTGTATTGTCTAACTTGAGTTTCCTACTTCTTTTTTTTGCCTATAGACACCCTATTTTTGGCCATCAAATTGTTGGGAGCCGGAAAACACAGACTATGGTCAGTGTAGAAATACTTCCTATTTCTTTTGGAAATTACGCATTTTGTTAATGAATGTGTCACAGCAATCTGTCTTGTTTCATCCCACTGTTTAAAATATAATATGTCATGTAATTCCTGTGCAAGAGCTACTGATATTGAAATGAATATGTTGCTACCTTTTTCAAAGTTTGTCAGAAGCTTATCAAAGTCATATTTTGGAGTGGATCTGAGGAAAAAAGAAAAGAGCCCAAGCCCCAAAAGTCAAGAGTCATCAAAATCTACCTTACTATTTATATTCTCTGTTTGCTCCAGCAAGTGTGATTATTTACAATGAGAGAATCTCAGTGAAGCAGAGGAGACTTTATTGATGGTTGTGCAATGCTTATTATGAGATTGAGAACCAAAGATTTGACTAGTTTAAAACTCTTATCTTCAATATACACCATGTGGAAAATTAGTGATTATGAAAACTATTATAGTTCTAATATGAACTGTATTGGAAAATACAGTTTATTTTTTATTTGCCCGTGACTTGGGAGCAATGTATTAGGAAAATATATTATTAAAAATTATAACAAATTCTGTACTTCTGTACAGATTCTGTACTTCTTCTGTACTCAAATAGTGACCTATTTTTTAAAGAAAGTGTATCCATGAGCAGCCTCCTGTTCATTCTAATCCAAACTGTAAGTACTGAGCTCATCTGAAGACCAGGTAACTGAGCATGTACATGATAGGTTATGTTCTCAAAACTTCAGACCATGAATATCTTATTTTACAGCTTTTCCGAAATGTAGGTGAATGTTCACTTGTAATTTGGATTCTCTGCCCTTGGGAGCCAAAGACTTCGGGATGGATGGTTCCAATAAGTTCTTCCTTCCTTTTTAGAGCAGGCTCAGTTTAATTTCAAATACATTGCCAAATAAAGTAATTTTAAGCTGAAACGCTCAGCAGAGCTGCATGTCTCCAAGGTATAGTTTGAAAATGTGACCATTTCGTCATCCTATTGGAGTAGAAAAGTGTTCAATTTTTCACTGATATTTGAAGATGTCCAGTAAATAGTTACTGAGAGCTCCCAAGGAAGAGGGATTGTTACCATATGTGTGTGCTGAGCCACTCTGTATGAGGAAAATAGTCACTAAAGGAAAAATGATTGATTTACCATTTATTACTTCATTAAAGTCACCTAATATGTTAAAGATCAGCAAGTAATTAACTGGTTTAAGAGACATTGAGTTCTTCAGCTATAATGTATCACATTACTGGGATGGTTTTAATACATAATTACATGCTTACCATGTCTGAATTTCAGATCAGGCTGAGAAAGTTTATATTATTGTCCTTTATTCTAAAGTAGGAGATACTAACTTTCCTGTCATACCTGATCAGTGGATTGGTCAATGAATTATAAACTTTAGTAAGTAGAAATCTTCTATAATGTGTCCAGGTTTGCATGCCAGGAATACAGAATTAAACTTGGAATCAGCGTCTTCATCATGCAGGGAGGTGCTTTTGTTGAACAGTAAATTTACTCATTTCAGAGCTTTTGAGATTTAAATATGTTTCAGTTGCTGAGGTAAGCTCTTTGGTGGCAGAGGGGGCAAGGAAGGGAAACAAACCCTCCAATCTTGCTATCACATTGCTCCTTCAGTGTCATGAGTCAGAAGTGCAGTCCTGTATGAAACAGACCCACAGCCTCCCCATGCAGCAGGGCCAGAGCATTGTACTGGAGCTACCAAAGGGGACTGTAGGTCACCAGAGCTGGATAATGCTGGGGCATTTTCAGGAAAATAAACTTTTAAGGCACCTTTTCAATAATGTTTTTATTAGGTTAGCATCATCCAAATCCCAGAGATTAGGATTTCCCTTGTAAACAATGGTGATCAGAGGAATGCAGGAAAATCAATATATTTAATCAAAATGTTTAAGGAACCAAAATAAAGCTAAAGTAGGTTTGCACATTCTGCAGATTTTCATGGTAATTGTTATTTCCTGGAAAATATAGTACATAGAATTTATGTTATTGCAGATATGCAAATGCATTTCATACTTGTCATGCATTATGATGCTGTGTAGTGCTACCAATTTCATGGACTTGTCTTGAACGAGCTTAAAACTGGGCCCTCTAAAATTATTGACTGAGGCAATTTTTAGTGGCAGGCATTAGAAGTGTCTCAAGAGCAGGAAAAAGCAAACTCCCTCTGTAATCTTCCTTGATCAGAATTACTAACAAGGCAAATAAATTTCTTTGCCATTAACCTATTTTAACTAGCCATTGGAAATACTCTAGAATTTTATTGTATTTTAATTTAAAAATTAATCCTAACCATTCATCTTTACTCATCCATAACTGAGCTACTGTCCAGAATGTAACATACTGCCAGGAAAATAATTTATCTTAAACAAGAAATTAAATGAGATTGAGATACCGTGTGTTAGTTTATTGCCAGAACTAACTAAGAAAAAAATAATCCTTACATATTTGCAAACATGTTAATATCTTCTATAAAATATAATTTGATCTATATAGGCTTGTAATAGCAATTATTTGCCTTAAAAAGTATTTTTCTGTGGAAAGTATAAATGAAAAAGATCTACAAACAGAATCTTCCAATATGTCACAGACACACTCTGATAATAAAGCTGTAGTGCACTGCTACGTCGTAGTGGCAAAAAGAGGGCTTGGATTAAGTTATTTTATGTCAAAATGGAAAATAGCCTTTTGATTGTAATTTCCAAAATATTGACTATGATCATTCTGAAGTAGCTGAGAAACAGTCAGTTTTCTTAAAGTGCTGAAAATCTTCCTACTTTTTCTTGAAAATCATGCTTTAAGTGTTGTCAAGAGAGATTCCTCAAATTGCAAATAATTTTTACAAAGGCAGGTCCTTAAGTTCCATCTGTTGAAGTTCTGTTTTAGTGCCATATGGCTTGGAGTCCACCCAGGCAGGACATGTTGTTCTTTGTAGAATCCCATTGGTTTTAGAGTGATTATGTTAGTGAAAATAAGTAATAATGATAACAACTACTATTATTAAGGCTAGAGTAGTTCAAATAAATTTGCTTTTTCCTGTGAGTTAAGTCATGTTCCTGAATGTGTTTTTGTGACAAACAGAATTGGATCTCAATTCAGAAAAACTGGCTCTTGAAATAGGCACAGCTAGTGGCTGAGCATGTGACCTGCTTGGAATTATCTTCTCTTTTGTTACAGATACAATTTTTACTGCATGTTATAAACAGGTCATGTCATTAAGGATTAGTTAAATAGAGGAGCTAATTAAGACAATTGCATCCCAGAAAGGGGAGATATAATGCCACATATGATGTTGTTATTCAATGTGCATTTGGTCTCAGTTCTAATGGAACCTGTCAGGTTCTCTTGAAGGTTTAGTGACTCACAGCTGTTGCAAATTTGAGGCATTTAGTCCATTACTGTCCTCTTTTTTGAATAAGTAGAAACTATGAAATGTTAGGGAAAAATTCCATTCACAACAAAATGGAAATTTGTCTTTTTTTCAATTCTTTAGGCTTAATTTAACATATTTGTGAATATGTAAGAGGATTGTAAGAATTTCAGACATAAAATAAGAAGAATTAGTAACTTCTATTCATTTTCTCTAGTGAACTTTTGCTGATAGTGCCCTACTATCAGAGGGCACCCAAAACAATCTTTGACATATCAGTAATAGTCTTAAGGATGTTTGAACATACTAGAAGACAGAAAGTCAACTGTGTCTATATAGTTGCAACAGGATGTTTGAGCATTGCAAATTTTTTTGTGTGCATTTCTCTCAAATGAGTTAAAAATGGAGGAGGACTGCAAAATGTTGGTGAGTTTGGTGAGTTATGGAGAACACAGTAGATAATTGATAATGCAACATAAGTTTAAGGGCACTTGACCATGTGATCTTTAAGTGATGCTAAATGAGACTGTTTTTCTCTATCTTCAAAGCAATTTCTTAAATTCTGTTGAAAGACAAGTTTTGAAAATGTAACATATTTTCAGTAGCCTCCCAAATAAAGTCACTACAAAGTATTACAAAGGCAATCTCCTAGGAAATTAGAACAATTATGGGGGATGGGGTAAGTCTTAATTAATTGCTCCCTTTTAAAGTGTGAGATACTTTAAAAATAAACTGACAGAGGCTTCTCCATGCTTTGTCTCTTCTGCTCTGTTCTGAACATGAGCCATGTCAGCTGGCTCATTTCCCTCTTCTCTCCTTAACCCACAGTAATGCTAAAAAGTACATATTGCACAAAAAGTAACTGCAGTCATGTATCATGTTTTTCATATGTTGAAAATTTTCATATAATTTTCTCTTTGGAGTCTCTTGCCTGCTTGTTTTCCATGCTTAGCTTCAAATTCCTCTATGAAAATTTGAGTAGTTCAGGAATTTCCTCTCTCACTTGTATTTCTATATCCTTTACCATAGAGTGACTGTTTGGAAGAACTGTGTGGAGAATGCATTGTATATTTTCATTGCCCAAATGCACAGGAAGGATTTCCTTGGCAACAGCTTATTAGTAAGCAATTTGTATTTGAGAAATACTGATTCCTATTGCTTAACTGAACTCTGCTGGAACACTGCATGTTCTCAGCATCTCTGAAAATCAATCCATAACTATGAGTCAATAGCTTGGGGCAAAACTGGTAGCAGAGAAGCACTTTTGATACAAATTGTCATATATATACATATATAAAATATTTGTTCCAATTCATGCCATGAGAATTTACAAAGAATGTGTGAATAGTTTCTGGAGAGCTCTGCCATTCTATAATCTCAAATCTTGATTCTCAGTTCCCTTTTTTTTTTTACAGCTAATGTCAGACTATGTCAGCAATGACTCCCTCAATCTGTTCTTTAAAGTCCTTAATACAGATCCCTCTGTTAAGGACACATCTCTCAAAATTTTCTGGATTTCTTGGTGTAGTAAGAAACAGACTTTTCCTACCAGATCTCAAGTAATTTATTAAACTGTTTCTAAGACTGAGTTGTGACTCCTTAAGTGAATGACTT